TGCACAACTAAAAAGGAACTCGATGCCTATAGCGATCGAGGACACTACTGAATCCCATAACAGTTTGAAATGGCTTGTTTGGGGGAATGATCAAAGGCAACAAGAATTGTTGAATGTGATTGTGTTTTTGAGTAAATGTAAGAATAGTTGATTTTCCTTAAGGGTTATACACCACAGCTTTTGAAAATCAATATCACCAGCTAATTGAGGGCAATATATACCAAAAAACTGACGTGTTTAATCGAAAATATTCTCTTCACAAACTAACCAAGAAGAAAAATCGAGATGTATTAAAGGAGACAGTAAAGGTGTTTGATAGCTATTGTTGCCTCCAAAGTAACTTAAAAAAGGTACATCCAATGATTGTCCTAAAAGATCAAACGTGAAAAGCTAGACACAGTACAAAACTGTTATTAACACCGCAACTGTAAGCTTAAGATTTGGATTTAAAAATGTTAGAGTTCGATAAATTATAGAAGTAGCAATCTTTGAGATATTCTATTAATTAAAAGTTATTAACTGAATATTTTCTTCTAGTTCTCATGCGCATTTTGCCTTAAGAAGTTCGAGTATAGACAAAATTTCTGTTGATTCTACGATTATTATAAATCACCACATACGAACGTGGTATTGGCTCTATAGTGATGCTCCTGATTCGGCAGTTTCCTCTAATACGTTCAGAAAAAAAAGGAAAGGCTGAATGATGGGGAGAAAGTGATAGAGATAATTTTTGTTTTTAGCGTGGAGAAAACGAAAAAATGCGAGTTTTCAGTCGGAGTTAGGGCCTCTCATCTTCCCAATACTCATCAGATGCTTAACAGCGAAGCCGTATGTTACTATTCACTGATTATTCGAGACAAAAGATCAGTTCGGGAAACTGCCCGTCAAAAACACCACTTCCATTATTATATGGGATGTCACTGTTCATGAATGTGAAAGTTACCCCTGAACACTGAACAGAACTGACACCGTCCATTCCACGCTCTGAAGTAGGACCCGCTATTAAAGCACTTAAACGGTACCGGGTGTTTTTCTTTAACATGATTTTTGTGCTGTAAATCAATTCAAAACCGGTGTAACTATATTTCTCGGCTTGCAATGGTTTTGTTTGAATTGATTCTATTCGCAAAGACATCAACACTGTTGCAGCTTCGACCATCGTCAGGTTGAAATCTACCAAGTAATTACTGTCTTTTTGACCAAAGAAGCGTACTCCGCATAAGGCAATGTCTTTGTCTGTAGTGAAATTGATGACATCTGGGTGGCGACCATAATTCCATTTATTATCAGGTAATGAGTTGAATCTACAACATGTTTGAATTGCCGTAGTAGAACCAGATCTTATTGTTTCGAAAAATCCCGACTTGGAGACAGAAGTCAGGTGTCTGACGAGACTGACGATTTCTTCTTTTGTCAGAACATCACTGGCTAAAACAACACTTGAGAAATCTTCCAGTTTCATAATTGGGAAGCGTATTGCTTTGACAATTTCTTCTCCAAGGATTCTTCTTTTTGTTGCACCTACCGCCTCTAAACCTTGCCTCTTACATTCTTCAGTGGCCCACAAGTCAACAGCTTTAAACAGATCGATCTCTTTGATCATGAGAGTGTCTCGTATTATTATTTCTGTAAGTAGTGACCTCTCAATTAATGCAAATCCATCCGATTTCACAGCTTGTTCCGTCTGGTCATCGACCACTTTCCAGCATCGTTCCATCAGGTCTTTCTCTTGATATTTCTGTGCGGATGGAAGGATACTGAAAACATTGGATGGATCCAAGTTCTGCAGTAGATATTCCGAGCACTTCTCAGCTAGTGACGGCACCATGTATTTCTTCGCTAAATACAACACTCCCATGATATTACTTGCGCTCAAGTTGACTTCATCGCTGTACATGAAACGAAACAACTCCAAGAGACTCTCGTAGTCACAGTCAGGCAGTTCAACAGAGTCTCTAGTCTCCGCCAACTCACCGTGAAACATGGACTCAAAAACAGGACTGCTGATCGACAGCACGAACTTGTGAGCAGGAATCACTTGTTTACTTTCGCTTTCACCATCCATCTTGCGAACAACGAACTTGATATCGCTGAGGCGATCGTTGTTGAAAACAAACTTGGCTCTCTCTCTTATGGTTGGTCTTGTCGTTTGCCAGTTTTCTTCTCCGACAGACATGGCTTCTGTTGTGAGATCTGCGGTGAATCAAGGAAAAATTTATCTGTCGGCTGTATTAATTCGATTTATAAATCGGATGGAAAACGAGACAGCGGTATTTTTGAAATTTGAATAAAAAATAACATTACATGCGAAGTTGTCACGGCTGAAGCGTGACTGAGTCTCGATTGAATTTTCACCCCCAGTCCTCTGTACGTCAGCGCGGGGACCAGCGTCACGGAAAAACACATCAATGAAAAATAACTTTGTCTCGCAACCTACACTCGGGCCTGCGAACACTGGGCGTCTTTCTCCTTTTCATTTAACTGAAGCTGATAACTCTTTATGGAGTGAAAGGATGAACGTTTTCAGTGGAAAGGGAAATTACACCTATATAGGAAGCAACTCCTTATCATTCGCTTTGACGGAGAGCTGATGCCCGAAATGTCAGCTTAAGAAACTCTTTAGGGTTGCCAATTTACAAAATCAACTCAGTTGATTAAATTAAATTACCCTGTTATACTCTCCCACCGACGCAGCGCCACTGTTTCTTTAGAAACGTACCCTTTTTGTACGTGTGATCAATTAACTTAAAGGCTCGCGTGTTCAGTGTGCTACCTAGCCTGCCAGAAAAAAGCCTTTGTTGATCACATTTGGGAAACCACTC